TCTAAATTTTATTTCTCCTGTAGAAATAAGCTCACGTAAAAATACGTTAGATTTTTAAGAAAGAATAATTTTTAAAATGATTATACCAGCAATTAATCCTTTAAACAATGCAACTTTGAGCATGGTATTTGCGATATCACACTGTCGCAAATGTCGCAATTTTTCGCTCTCGTTTCTGGAAATTCTTATCGATGGTTCCGCATGTGATGATAAAGGCGGGCTGTACGGCGGTGGATCACGTATCACACGTATGGAAGAAGGCAAATCGTCACAGTTCTAATTAGATTTTAATTATTATTATTGCCACAATAAAAATATTTGCATTAGTAATATAAGCAAAGAAAATTTATCCTATTTTTTATTTTTTTTTAAATTTTTGTATTCCTTTAAATACTCAAGATTTTACGTACAATTGATTGAAGTTTGCATAATAAACCATGAAACATAAAATGTGGCATGAAAAATTATACGTGCACACGTTTAAATAATTTTGCCTGCGTAAATTAAAATGCAATTATAAATTATTTATGTACAATGAAAAAATTTTCGCTTTTATAACAGGAAAATTTTACACTAAAACTTTATAAGAATTAATTAAGACTAAATCTTTAATCATATATCATTTTTAACTTTTTAAAAATGAAAATTTTTTAAAATTATACTCAATATATTAATTGATATTAGTCAAAATTTCGTATGATAAATGAGAATAATTATCATCCATACTTCAATTACAGGTGCAGTTGGCAAAGGTATAAATTGACCAATGCTTGAATCCGTTTGTCGATTACTGTTTAGCATATTTTCGCATTCGTCTGATTTGCTAATCTTTTCATTCATTCCAAATTTCTTATGAACACATTCAGCATTTTACAAAATTGCACTTAAAAAAAAAAACGTGAAATTCAATCAATTTTTATCGCAACAAAAAAAAAAAAACAAAACAAAAACAAAACGAGAAAATTTTCCAACGATTAACAATTAAAAATTTTTGATCATTAATGAAATTTAAAAATTAGAAATAAAAATTTATTTTAATTTTGCTATGCCTGCATCAATTTCAGGTTCTGACGAGTTTTTTTTTTTCTTTCAATCATTAGAAAATGCGATTGAAATCTATCAATCTTTTCAACAAAATTTGTACGGCAAAAATTTTGAAATTACAGTTAATAATCAAATTTCGAATGAATTATCTGAAATAATTTGCTAATTTCGCATTAATTAAAATTCATTTAATCTCATTCAAATTATTTAAAATTGAAACATTTTTTCAACAACAAAAAAAAAAAACATCGAATTAAAAATTTTATTTTATTGGTAAACTGAACAGGCACACATGGAAATACAAAACATGGAAAAATTATTTATTTCATCGCGAATGAAATCGTATTCGATTTGATAATAGGCATTTTAATGCCAAAAAGACTAATAAAAACAAATGGCACACATACACACACATACGTACACTCATATGCACCCATACACATACACCCACATTCCTTCACATACACACACACACACACACACATACATTTACATGCGTTCACATGCACACATACATTAACATACATTTACATGCACTCACATACACTCACATGCACCCATATGCATTCACACTCATTCACAGACACACATACATTAACATACATTCACATGCACACACATACATTCACATGCATTCACCTACATACACACGCATATGCACAAACATACACATAAACATACATACATACACACACACAGACACAGACACAGACACACACAGACACAAACACACACACACACACATACATTTACATGCGTTCACATGCACACATACATTAACATACATTTACATGCACTCACATACACTCACATGCACCCATATGCATTCACACTCATTCACAGACACACATACATTAACATACATTCACATGCACACACATACATTCACATGCATTCATCTACATACAAACGCATATGCACAAACATATGCATAAACATACATACACACACAGACACACACACACAGACACAAACACACACAAACACACACACACACACACATACATACATACATACATAAAACAACAATTGAGCATTGAAACTTTATTGGAATATTAGCAAAATCGATAAAGTTAGAATGCATTGGTAATGAAAATAAGAAGGAAAAAATTGCATGCAAATTTTTCGAGAAAATTAAAATTTCAGTAAAACAATGCATTAAAATAGTTAAATATCCTCTGTTCTTTTTTTTTTTTTTTTNTTTGTTGACAAAAAAAAAATTTTCAATTAAGGAAAAATAAAAATAATATGATGAAATCAAATATGTACCATGATAGGGAGAGAGAAAGAGAGAGCAAGAGAGCAAGAGAGAGAGAGGGAGAGGGAGAGAGGAAGGGAGAGAAAAAAAGGTGTAAATAAAAATGTATAGTTGAAAGAGGTGAAAAAGTCGGTAAGGAATTAGCAGATAAACTGTTTATTATTTGAGAAAGAGAAAAAGGACCGTAGAAAATTTTTTTGATTTTTTGGTCAAATAATACTTAAATAAATAAGCAGAAGCAGACGGACAGAGAGATAGACAGAGAGACAGACAGATGTAATTTTTTCATAACATATGTTGACATTTTGAAGTGTATTAAATTTCAAGAAATTTCAATAATTACAAGTTTTGTTTTGATAAAAGAGAAGCAAAAATAACAATAATGATAATAAATCATAAAAAAATTTCAAAAATGTTGGAATTTTTTTAAAAATGTAAAATTTTTTAATCTAGGAATGCCGAAATTTTGATTAAATGTGAACATTTTTAATTATTTGATACTTCAATTTCAAAAATTATAATTATACCTCTTTGTTTCTATCTTTGAAAAAAATAAAACGAAAATTAAAATATGATGAGATTTTGAAGTAAATGATGCAATTGTAAAAATATTTGATTACACAGTTAGATAATGAATTTGTGTGGATGTTACAAAGTAAATATTAAGCATTCAATTTTATTAATTATAAGATTTAGACTTACATTTGAATTAATTAAGATAGGGAATTAATGACTGGTTAATTAATTTGAAATGATAATGTATAATGATAAAAATAGTAGAAATAACTTTCGATAAAAACGTTCGCATTTCGGGCAAATTAAATGTTAAAAAATTAGAAAAAAGAAAATTAGAAAAAGATAAGTCAAACGTTACAAAAAAAAGAAAAAAAAAGGATTTTGAAAGAGGAAAAAATTGATGAAAAAAAAAAAAAAGAAATGGAAATTGCTAAATGAAAGCGAACAAAAAAGCAAACAGTTTAAATGATTATGCAAACAAATAAATGAGTATTAATAAAAATCACAATCAATCTTGAATAAATATTGAAACTAAATAGTAAATGAATTAGCCTATAAAAATCACACATAATAATAAACATTTCAGTCATAAATTGTTACAAATGAAATTTCAGAACATACAGTTCCTTAAATTATTGATCGATGTAGTTATATCATATTTAGAAGTGAAATTTTCAACGTTAATTTTTTTTTTTTTTAAAAATTTCTAAAGCAAGAAAGAAATTTGTTCTTTCAACTAAATTAATGAGTAAATGTCAATATCGTATAGTATTAAAATTTGATAACAGAATTAAAACTAGCATTATTTGGTGATGGAAAGAATTTTATTTATCAACTCACTCCTCTTCTATTTTTTTTTTTTGTGAAATGAAAAAAAAGAAAAAAAAAAGGTAAAAAAAAAAATTCAAATTTGTCTATTCTTGTGAGTATTCAATTATAAGTGATATTTAAATTAATTTTCAGCTGATAACAGAAATGATTAAATGTGAGGAGAGAAAATAATTTCACACCTCTTTTACCAATTTCACCGAAATTCTGCCCGCCTTTCGGTCTATTTCTTACCAACACTAACTTCTTTCCAATTTCTGCTTATTTCTCGACATCAAATCTCACATTTCTTTTTTTCATTCTTAAACAAAAAAAA